GAGGTGAAATTGACAGGACCTGATGAGTGGTAGGATGTAGGAGTTAAGGATGATTTCTAGGCAGCTGGCTTTGGTGACCGGAGGGTGGTTGTACTAAACCCTGGAAGAAAGGAAGGCAGGTTTAAAGGAAAAAGACAATTGTGTCTGAGTGTCCGGTATATTAATTATGAAAAGGATTCAGATAAAAGGAGGAAAGGGAAATATGGCTCAGAAGGAAGGTTGGGTGAAAATATAGAAAATGAGGGCACCTACACCTAGAAAGTGATTGACCACAGAGGTGTGTGAGCTGCCTGGGAGAAAACAGGTAGGAGAAAAGAAGTTCATTGTCAAGGAGTAGAGAAAGAATGAGGCTCCAACAAAGAGGACTGAGAAGGAACAAGAAGGCAGAGGAGAAACAAAGAAAGAAGGGGGCTTAGGAACCAAGGAAGAGGAGTTTGGGAATAAAAGAGGTACAGAGCCATGTCCGATGCTGAAAGAACAAGTGAGATTCGTTCACTCATTCAATAAAGATTTATTGAACACCTGCTACGTGCCTGCACATGCCAGGTACTAAAGATAGAGCAGTGAAGTGGACATAACAGACAAAACTCTCTATCCTCGTGGAAATTTCATACTAGTTGGAGCGAGGTCTAATTTAAGCAAGTAAGTAAACGTATTTGGTATATGTAGTGATTTGAATGGTGGTCCCAAAAAAGATATGCTTAAGTCCTAACCCCTGGTAATGTGCTCTTATTTGGAAATAGGGTGTTCATAGATGCAATTAAGTTAAGGATCTCAAGATAAAATCATCTTGAATTCAAGTTGAGCCATAATTCTGACCGGTACTTGAGACAGACACATAGCAGGAAGACCATGTGAAGATGGGGGCAGAGATTGGAGCGATGCATGTACAAGCCAGGAATCGAGAAGACAGTCTTGGAATAGATATTCCTCTGTGTCTTCAAATCTCTCTCCCCTTCCAAGGGCACCATTCATTGGATTCAGGTCCACCCTAATCCAGTATGACCTCCTTTTAACTTGTTTACCCCTACAATGACCTTATTTCCCGGAAAGGTCACATTCGCAGAAACAGGGAGGTGGGACTTCAACATATATTTAGGGGGAACACAATATGACCCACAACAAATACCATATAATAATCTTAATAAAATCAGAAAAAGCATTTGGAAAGTTCAACACTCACTCATGATAAAAACTCTCAGTCAATAGAAATAGAAGCAATTTTTGCCACCTCACAAAGGACCACTGCAGAAAACCTCCAGCTAATATCCTACTGAATGGTGAAAGACTGGATGCGTTTCCCCCAAAATGGGAAACAAAGCAAGAATGTCCACTCTCACTATTTCTATTCATCATCACACTGGAAATCCTAACCAGCACAATGAATGAATGAATGAATGCAGATTGGAAAGAAGAATAAACTAACTCTATTTTTGGACATGATTGTTAATGGAGAAAATCCAAAAGAATCTGCAAAAAAAAAAAATTACTACAATCCATATAAGTGAGTTTAGTAAAGTCACAGAATATAAAGTCAATATACAAAAGGCAACTGTATTTGTACTTACTAGCAATGAACAATTAGAAATTTAAACTTATAAAAACACCATCGATCACACCACCCAAAAACCATGTGACACAAGAATAAGACTAACAAAATATGTGTGGGATCAATGTACTGGAAGCTCAAAAACACTGATGGGAGTAATTTTATATGATGTAAATAAGTAGAGAGTTATATTGTTCATAGATTTGAAGACTTAAGATACCAGTTTTCCCTAGAATGAACTACAAATCAATCCAATCCAATCAAAATCTCTGCAGAAATTTTTGTGGAAATCAATACTCTGATTCTAAAGTTTTTATGGAAAAACAAAGGAACTGGAATAGATAAAATAATCTGAAAAAGAACAAAGTTAGAGAAACCACACTACCTGATTTTGAGCCTCACAATAAAGCCACCTTGATGGAGACAATGTGGTGCTGGACAGAGGACAGCCATGCTGGAGCCTGCTCACACACTCATAGGAGCCAAGTGTCAAATTTTCAGCAGTTTTACAAGTTGGTTGATGTCAAATTGGTTGCTTGAAATTGTGTACTGTGAAAGTACTTAAAAAACAAACACTGAAAATCAGGACTCCATCCCCACCCCCACCCCTACCAGTTCCCCCACAGACTGGGAGGCAATGTTTACAAATCACAGATCCGATAAAGGCCTTGACACAGAATATATAAAGGATTCCTAAAACTCAATCATTAGAAAGCAAACAAATAGTTAAAAGAATTGACTAGATAGTTTGCATGGCAGTACGTGAAAAGATGTTTGTCATTAGCCATGAGGGAAGTACAAATTAAAACCACAATGATCTTTGTAATACTTTAAGCATTAAAACAAAATTTAAAAATATATATATATTGGAAAAAAATAAAGACGGAAGGCCAGAAAAAAAGAAATAAAACAGATATTTTGAACTATTAAAAAAAAAACCACAATGAGATGCCACTTACACATCTAGTAGAATGACTAAATAATTGTTTTAAATTGATAATACCAAGTGTTGGTGAGGATGCAGAACAACTGAAACTCTCATTCACTGCTGGCAGGAATGCAAAATAAATAGTACAGCCACTTTGGAAAGCAGTGTAGCACTTTCTTATAAAGTGAAACCTATTCCTCTTACACCCTATCAATCCCAATCCCAGGTATTTATCCAAGTGAAATGGAAACTTACACTTAACAAAAACCCTGTGTGATGATTTTTAGAGCAACTTTATTCATAGTTCCCCCAAATTGGGAAGTACCAAAGTCCCTCAAATGGGAATGGATAAACAACTGTGGAAACTCCATAGGATGGAATCCTACTCAGTCAAAAAAAAGAAAGGAAGGAACTACTCACATATAGCAATGTGAATGAATCTCAAATGCATTGTGCTAAGTGAAAGAAGCCACTCAGAGGCTGCACACTATATGACACAACTTATACGGCATTCTGAAAAGACAAAAGTGTAGAGACAAACCAAATCAGAGGTTAACAGGGTGGGATAAGGGAAGGGGTGGGTACCAGGGGATTATTCGGGACGATAGAACTGTTCTCTATCTTGATTGCAGTGACGGCTAAACCACTGGATCCGATTGTCAAAACCTCATAATTGTACACTAATGCAAGTTAATTTTACTTAATGAAAAATAATGGGAAAAGGTCACTTTGGCGATTGGGTTGAGAAAAGATTGCTAGGGCAGGGCTAGAAGCAGGGAGACCATTAGGAGTCCAGGTGAGAGATATAGTTGCTGGGACTGAAAGTGGCCTTAGAATCTGATGGTACACAGGTCATCAGTGACCTTCTAGACACATTTTTCAATGAAGGAGGGACAGGCTGCAAGTGTGAGGAGTGGAGGTGAACATGTACAAACAGGTCTGGACCCTGGATCACTGATTACTCATTCAAGAAACCTATTTGGACCTACCCCACTACATGAGTCCCAGCACAGAGATGGCCTGGGCCTATGGTGACCGATCCTCCTGGTTTGCCTGGGACTTTCCCAATGTTAACACTGAAAGTCCTGCATCCAGAAAAAGCCCTCAGTCCCTGGCATACCAGGTAAGTTGGTCACCTAAGCCTAGTCCCTGACCTGCCCATCCAGCCCGTCTGGTCACCCTTCAGTTCTGCCTTCCCTATGGGTTTGGTGATCCTGCCTTCCATTCCTTACAGGCCTCTGAGCTCCTTGCTGACACGGCTCACACACAGGCATTGCAGGAATGCTAAAGAACAGGGACACTCTGCTGCGCTTTACGTCACCTCCCTTCAGCCTCTGGTCTGAAGGCTGTTAGATGCCTCTTGATATCAGAAAGAAATACAAGCGGAGTTTTTTCACTCTGCCGCCAGGAAGTCAGGAGCACTAAGCTCAAACACACTTTTCCCTCCTATCTCACTTTTGACATCCTCTCTTGAAACAGACTCAGCCTTTTGCCTTGGTCTTGTCCATCTTGGTATCTCCAGAGCTGCAGACATGAAAAAGCACTCCTTCCTTCTTAGCATTCCTCTCTCTTCTGGATCTCCTCCTACCTTCGGCTATAAGTTTCTCAACCTCCTTATTGTCTAATGAGCATGTGCTTTCCTCATACATGCTAGAGGAGCATCTAGAGCAATATTTAAGTGTCTGGATTTGGGCAACGAACAGGATCTGGGTTCGAATCCTAGCTTTGTCACTTTCTAGCAGCATGACCTTTGATGTATTACTCCTTGGACCTTCAGGTTTTCCCTCTGTAAAATGGGTATGATGAATTCCACTTCATTGAATTGCTGTAAGAACTAAATTAAATGAGATTATGTGTGAAGGGGGGAAAACTCAGCACAATGCTTGGAACAGAGCAAGCAACAAATAAATGTAGCTCCTGGTATATAAAATGTCTCCAATGGGAATGCTCAACAATAGGAAAGTGGTTAATAAGTTAGACCACACCATGACTTATTTATAGCATCCTGTATGGCAAAGCCATTAAAAATAATGCTTTGAAGAATATTTAATGGCACAGAAAACTGTTCACAATATAATTTTAAGAGAACAAAATCAGACTATAAAAACTCAGGTCCCAAGTCTGTTCTTTTTTTTTTTTTTTTTTGGACATTTTTTTATTTTTTTATTTTTTATTTTATTGTATTTTATTTTACCAGATATTATGACTGCATTTATGTGAAATGTCCCCCCCACACACACACCATAGGCATATCCCTGGAGGCATATCCATACAGAATGCAGATTAGTAACTGCCTGAGTCTAGGGCGGGAGGACAGGGAGGGGGCACTGGGAAAGGGAGGCGACTGTTAATGGGTATGGGTTTCTTTCAAAGTGTTGCTAAAGTCCTACAATTGGCTCCTCTCTGAGGGGGCGTGGCTAGGCCCTAGGGGGCGTGGCTGGACTCTGGGGCGGGACCAAGCCAGCTTAAAGCCCGGCTGAAGCATAGCGCCCACACTGTGGTGGCTGTTACTCTCGTGGAGGCATGGAGGAGTGCGCTGGCCTCTGCAGCGTGGGCTCTTCGTGGGGATGTCGGTGTGGTCAGCAGTACCAGGGCCCAGCTGAGACGGCAGCAGCCGAGGCCAAGAGATGTCCTCAGAAGCGCCATCGCCCGGCTGAGACAGCAGCGGCCGAAGGCAAGCAGTGTCGTCAGAAGTGCCAGGGCCCAGCTGAGATGGCAGCGGCCAAGCGCAAGCCGGCCCCGGCAGAAAAGCATGTGGAGGCGGACCCGACAGCGCGGTGCTGTGCGGGGAGTGGAGGAATCGCGAGCCCCATGTCACCCCCGCACTGCTCACTGCAGGACCTGCCTGTGGAGATGCTGGTGGAGATCTTCGCCTCGCTCCCCGGCACCGACCTGCCCAGCCTGGCCCTGGCCTGCACCAAATTCCACCACATCCTGTACACTGACAGCATCTGGAGACGGCGCTGCCGAGAGGAGTTCGGCATTCGTGAAAACTTGGAGAACCTGGAGATGATCGGTATGTCTTATCGAGAAGTCTATGCGCAGCTGTTCCCATACAGACACATTTTGGGATTGTGGCAGCTAGATACTGAGGGCTATAGAACACTGCTGAATGTCGTGGTGGACGGCTTATGCATTACTGGTTGGACGTACGGGCTTTCCCTTAACACCCATGTGGATGGCCCACTGCAATTCAAGCCCGGGTTCAGAATTCGCCTGACGGAGAGGAAACCAGCCACGGTGGAGTGCTTGGAAGGCCTCCACAGCAGGCCCCACCACCGCCACATGCAGATTCAGAAGGACAGGCTCACCCTCTGGTGCAACAATAGAGACCACCGAAAGGTTTTAACAATGAGACTTAGGGGAGAACGGGGGCGGGTGCTGGTGCGGGAGGACAGATATCAGTATGACTGCCTGACCTACCGCCGCCTCTACCTCCCGCCGAGTCACCTGGGCAACCTCATCCGGCCAGGCCTCTTTCAAGGCAACTACGATGTCTTCGGCCTAATGATTGCCATGCTCAGCTTCCATGGGAAGTATGCCAGGGTCACGAAGATCACGGGAAACTCCAACGGGACGTTAGAGATCCACCTCATGCGCCGCATCCCGCTGCCAGGTGGCGAGATCTTCCGCAACTTCAACGAGCTCTCCCACGTGGTCCAGGAGATTGACGAGCAGGTGATCCGGGAGCAGCAGCAGCAGCAGCAGCAAGAAAACGGGACTGAGGAAAGCGAGGGCCATGGCTGGCAGAACCGTGCCCAGCCCAGCGTCGGGGAGTCCGGGGCTGCAGCTTCGGAGGAGCAGCCTGTCCCGTTTGTTCTGCCTGAGGGCGTGCGCTCAAGAAACCAGAACTACCCCGGAACCTGCAGGATGTGTTTCTATGCCGTGGACACTGTTACCTCATATGGCTCAGTGTCCATACGCTTCCCTGGAGTCTTCATCCTGTTCGATGAGAACCACTTCGGGTTCATCTGTCTGGAGGTGAAATACTTCATCCTATTCAGCAGAGTCCAGAACACCTTCCAGAATGTGGAGGCACCATCCCCGCAGGCCTTCCTGGAGATGCTCAAGGACATTCATTCCCGAACCCCTGGGAGGAGCAGCTTGCAGATTTGACCTTCTGACCAGGTTACCCACCTTTGTTTGTTTTTTTAATCCTCACCCGAGGATATTTTCCCATTGATGTTTAGAGAGAGAGGGAAAGACAGAAATATCCATGTGAAAGAAACATCAGTTGGTTGCCTCCTGCCAAAGCCTGGACCAGGGCCAGGCTGGGTAGGAGCCAGCAACTGAGGTAGAAATAAACCTTAGACCAGTGGTCTCAACCTTCCTAATGCCGAGACCCTTTAATACAGTTCCTCATGTTGTGGTGACCCCCAATTTCATTGTTACAAATTGAACATAATTAAAGCATAGTGATTAATCACAAAAACAATATGTAATTATATATGTGTTTTCCAATGGTCTTAGGCGACCCCTGTGAAAGGGTCATTCGACCCCCAAAGCGGTCGCGACCCACAGGTTGAGAACCGCTGCCTTAGACCTTTCCATCCCCAGGTCCAGGTTCTATCCACTGAGTCAAACCAGCTAGGGCTGAGCATGTCTTTTTTTTTTTTTAATATATACATATTATTTTTTTAATTAAATATTTATTGTTCAGATTATTACATTTGTTCCTCTTTTTTCCCCCCATAGCTCCCCTCCACCCAGTTCCCACCCCACCCTCTGCCCTTACCCCCCCACTGTCCTCATCCATAGGTGTATGATTTTTTTCCAGTCTCTTCCTGTACCCCCCACACCCCTTTCCCCCAGAGAATTGTCAGTCCACTCCCTTTCTATGCCCCTGATTCTATCATATTCACCAGTTTATTCTGTTCATCAGATTATTTATTCACTTGATTTTTAGATTCACTTGTTGATAGATATGTATTTGTTGTTCATAATTTGTATCTTTACCTTTTTCTTCTTCTTCCTCTTCTTAAAGGATACCTTTCAGCACTTCATATAATACTGGTTTGGTGGTGATGAACTCCTTTAGCTTTTTCTTATCTGTGAAGCTCTTTATCTGACCTTCAATTCTGAATGATAGCTTTGCTGGGTAAAGTAATCTTGGTTGTAGGTTCTTGCTATTCATCACTTTGAATATTTCTTGCCATTCCCTTCTGGCCTTCATAGTTTCTGTTGAGAAATCAGCTGACAGACGTATGGGTACTCCCTTGTAAGTAACTAACTGTTTTTCTCTTGCTGCTTTTAAGATTCTCTCTTTGTATTTTGCTCTTGGCATTTTAACTATAATGTGTCTTGGTGTGGTCCTCTTTGGATTCCTTTTGTTTGGGGTTCTCTGTGCTTCCTGGACTTGTAAGTCTATTTCTTTCACCAGGTAGGGGAAATTTTCTGTCATTATTTCTTCAAATAGGTTTTCAATATCTTGCTCTCTCTCTTCTTCTGGCATCCCCATAATTCGGATGTTGGTACGCTTGATGTTGTCCCAGAGGCTCCTTACACTATCTTCATATTTTTGGATTCTTTTTTCTTTTTGTTTTTCCGGTTGGGTGTTTTTTGCTTCTTCGTATTTCAAATCTTTGACTTGATTCTTGCCCTCCTCTGGTCTGCTATTGGGTATAATATTCTTTATTTCAGTCAGTGTATGCTTCATTTCTAGTTGGTTCTTTTCATATCCTCGAGGGTCTCACTAAATTTATCGGCGGTTTCTAGAAAATTCTTGAAAAACCTTATAACCATGGTTTTGAACTCTATATCCAGCAGTTTGCTTTCCTCCATTTCTGTCATTTGTGACCTGTTTCTTTGTCTCCACATTTTGGCTGCTTCCCTGTGTTGATAGAGTGGCTTTCTGTGCTAGGTGTCCTATAGGGCCCAGTGGCTCATCCTCCGCAATTACCTGAGGTAGACACTCTTGGTGCACCCCTTTGTGGGCTTTGTGCACAGTCTTGTTGTAGTTAAGCCTTGATTGTTGTAGGTATTGCCGGAAGCCAGTCCATCCTTGCTGCTTGACACAGTCTCTGCAGGGAAGAAACATCTGCACAGCATATGTTTCAAGGGACCTGGCGTATATGGCATACTGTTCTTAATATATTTGCTCCCCTTCTTAGTGGTATGTGTTTTAACCAAGGTCACCTCTCCGAGAAAGGTTGTTTCCCCAGGTGGGGATTTTTCCCTGGAGTTAGGGATTAACAGGACTAAGGAAGGTAATAAATCAGTAAAACCCCTTAACTAAGTGCCAGGCGGGTAGTTAATCACTTTAACTATGAAGAATCATGCTTAAGCTACATAATCTTTACTTACGATAATCTCCTTCAGTTACTTCCTTGTAGCTTAACAGAACAATAGAGTAGTGATCTTGGAATGGAGATAACAAATGCCCTAACCTTTGGAATAGAATGGATAGGATTAAAATCAACTGGTATAAATACAGATGTAACAGGAGAATAAAAACAGAACCTGGCTAGAGAACCTGGCTAGGGTGCTGATCACCTGAACACTGTCTCCGTCCACACCTTTGGGAACCCCTGGACCTGTTGGGGCTGGACCCCAAAAAGGTATCACTGTGATGAATTGACTTCCAGGCCAGTTGGCTGTGAGAATCATCTGTGTCTGCAGTGGGAGAACTTTTGTGCTGGAGAGACACCCTTATGGGGCAAGACTTGCTTCAGTGGGGCTTTGGTGCTCACTGAGTCTGCCCCCTGAGTGTCCCTTATGGATGTGAGCAGCTTTAATCTGGATGGTCCCACTATGGATGTGAGCAGCTATAATCTGGATGGTCCCACTCTGACCCTGGGTACACTGGCTCTTGGATCTCTAAGGAGGTGCTAATTTAGCCTCTGCAGATTCCTCTTCTTTGTTTGGAGTTTGGAGATGTCCAGATGAGGCCCAGCTGTGAAGCAATGCAAGCTGCTGTGGGGCCTTGGCCCTTCTTTTGGATGTTCTGGGTCTCTCTGACTCAGCTACAGTTTGTTAGGTAATTTTAGATTGCAAAGGGCCAGGCCCTTTCATATGCAAAAGCCTCTGTGCACAGCTTGGGTGGGGCGGGGTCTCAGGGAATCAACAGGGTGGAGCAAACAGCTATGGCTGATCCTCAGCCCTGCTGGGAATAGCCCGGGGTCTCAGTGTCTGGCGGTAATCGCTGCAAGCACCTCTGAGAGAAAGCCTCCCTCGAGTTCTGCTGGATGCTAGACAGTCCAGTTTCTCCCCATATGAGTCTGGGTCCCCAGAGACTCGCCCAGAACTGGAGTTCAGAGCAGTCGGGAGCTTGAGACTCCCTCCCAATTGAAAAAGACAACCACGTCCTCAGTTTCCAGTCCTTTCCGTGTGCGCCTCCGTACCTCTGCACTTTACTTCTGCACCTCCTCTGAGTCTCAGTGTGCTTTTCTCTTTCCTTCTAGTTGTAGAATTTCCACTCAGCCAGCTTCCGGTGGTTCTGGATGATGTCCGTTTTGTCTTTTAGTTGTATTTTTGAAGTGGTTGTGTGAGGCAGCAATTTCCGGTGTTTACCTATGCCGCCATCTTGGTTTCTCCTTCCAGAATCCCAAGTCTGTTCTTTAAAAAGTATGAGTATGTGTGTATGCGTGTGTGTTGTGTGTTTGTATTTAGAAAAAAAGAAGAAACATAGAAAGTGTTGGCTGCTTTTTTCATTTTTACCCCTTTATGTTATTCTGTATTTTCAAGTTTTCTCTAATGAACATGTATTATTCTCATAGCAATAGCTGTTATTTTAAAAATTCAGTCACCAATTTTTTTTCATTCAACAGAGATTTTTCTAGCACACACTACATGCCAAGCAATATTCTAGACTCAAGACACTGATGGAAAAGTCAACAGGCAGGTTTTCCCCAAGACACCATCTAGTTTGCATTTAATTCTCCTTAATTTTTTTATGCACTAGTTTTGTCTCCACAAATAAACTGTTATCTCCTCAAGGAAGGAACCCTGTGGTCCTTCACGGTAACCCCACAGCACACACTCCATGCTCAAGGGAAGAACTCAGTGATGCATTCCACTTCCATTCCTGGGACACACTGGAAAGGGGTCAGTTTCCTAACATCATTAGGGGAGAAAAGAAGAGGTGCCTTTGTATTGATGCATTCCACTTCCATTCCTGGGACACACTGGAAAGGGGTCAGTTTCCTAACATCATTAGGGGAGAAAAGAAGAGGTGCCTTTGTATTTGGGGCTGGTATCTTCCCCCTTCCTCCCTGACACTGAGCATGACAGGGCTGGACATTCACGCCTGCCTCCATATCTGGGTTTTCCTGAGAGCACAGGAGCCTTTTGGCTGGCCGAGCCTCATGTAAGGGGAGCTTCTCTTTTTCTAGCCTCCACCTTAATACACATCAAACCTGCCTTTTCCCACAGTTAAGCAACTTGAGAGCATGGCAACTGAGCTGTCCTCTTGGGTTGAGTTCTTTGTCGTTTTTGTTTTTGTTTGTGGTTTTTTTTACGTTACTTTCTTTTTTTATTTTTTTTATTTATTGATGAAGGTATTACATATGTGTCCTTTGTCATTTTCACTCCGTGGATCCCTTGGGCGGTCTGGTGAAGCCTGTGGGCCTTTCTTGGAATGCTTTCAATGCGTACAATAAATACCCAGGGTCACAGAAAACTAAACATACCAAAATACCATTACCAAAGTATCCTTTCTAAAATATGTTTGTTGTATGTCTCCCTACATACCGAGAGCTTACTTTCTATAATTCTGAGAATTTTACAAAAATAAAGATACTGCACATTTCTTGTTAAATTTAAAAAATAAAACATATTTGTCACATAGTAATAGATTTTTTTCTTTGTATTGCATTAGAAAAATAAAACATTATATTTGAAATACAGTCAAGTAAAGTAAAATTTTAATTTTTAAAGACATACCCCTAAAAACTGTTTTTGCTTACCTTGAATAAGAACATAAAATGCTGGAATGGCCCGTGACAAGATAATACACAGGAACTGTTGGAAATCCAATTGATTTTTATGTTTTTTATGGTAACATGTTGAAAATCCAATCTTCAAAGATAAGTGTTGAAAATGGAGTGAAAGCTTCCACAGCTCCTTCACAAAGTAAAAATAAGTGTCTCCCAGGAGCACCCAAACTCTCCAAGGATTTTTAGTGAAATTTCAGTGAGTGGATTTTTGGTCCTAAGATCAATGAATTCATCTTTGGCTTGATCCACACCTTGGGTACAGTTTACGTAAGAAGAAAAAAGAATGAGGCTCTAGGGTTCAATTTTGTTGCCATCAAGATAGAAATGACTTTTGCAAGAGTTCTAAAGTGTTTCCAGGTGTTTGTCGATTACTCTTTTAGATAAATTGACAGAATTTTGTAACTCATCTCCATGGAGGTAAAGCACTTTCTTCAGCATTTGAAAGTTTTCTACGTCGGCCCCTTATCGGCAGTTTGGCCGAGAACGCTGGCTTTGTTTTCAGAAGCATCCATGATGGGGACATCGGGACCCTGAATTGAAGGTCATCTCAGATGGTTAAAAATATCTGCCCGGTAAGCCAACCTAGCAGGCAAAATGCTTTCTTTCCAAGTGTTTCAACATGGATTTTCTTTTTCTCTTAGAAAAAGTGGAACTTTCCTCTTGAAAGTCAGTGAGCTTCTCCGTGGTAGAGAAGCCCCTGGTTTTCTGCTACCATTTCTGCACAAAACCTATAAAAATGCTATGAATCAGAGACCAGCTTTTGCCAAAGCTGATGACTTTTATGGCTGTCGACAGGACTCCTCTCTCGGGAGGCTGGGAAAGCCAGACGTGCCTGTGTTAAATGCAGCAGGTGAGTGCAGTGTGAAGTGCTTCCTTCCCGCGGGTAACACCGGCGCCGCCTCCCGCAGCTCAGGAGCTCCTGCCAAGGATATGAAGCTGTAAAAGCAATGCTACACCCTTTCCAAATGTCAGCGTCTGTCGTTTTCAAAGGGGCCCACAAAACAAGAATTCCTCTTTGTTGGCGTTAGATGGTCATCGTGGGCAGAACACGGACGTGGCTAATTGAAAGGCGTCTGTGGTTCTGGGTGACAGCTCTTCCACGACCCACTGGCAAACATGCCCACTGTTGTTGAAAGCACTTGGTCTGACCCCACAGCCACCCCAGCTCACTGCTTCCCCAGTGCACGCGGCTCCGGGTGACGGTCTCCCGTGGTGCGAGCCTTCTTTTGTTTGACACTTGGTAGAAAATCTGAAGGGTGTTTTCAGAAAAGGTTCTCGTGACATGGGGAATCCACATTTTTTGAAGTCTCCTAGCTTTTTAAAATTGAGCTTTCTTGTCTACATACACACAAAGCCCTGCGTTTCCTCTGGGTACATTTTCTAAGAGGATATGCTGAAGTGCACGTTCAGGCTCCCTGACTTCCAAAGTCCATCCTCGAGAATTTCTCTACAGAAGAAAAAACGTTGTTATGGCCTTTCTGTTCCATTGAGGCATTAATGTACGTGGACCAGTATGCGGTTTTCACCAGACCTTCCTTTTCTTTGCCGGCTCAAGACAAATTGGGTCTGTAAAAAATAATATTAAATAAAGCCATAATAAAATATGTTGTTCCATTGATATTCTTTGAAATGTAATTTTTTGTTTGTGATTCCTAAGTAATCTGTTTGATAAATCTACACAGAATGAAATAACTTGTATGTTAATTAAGTAAAGTATAAATTATTCATCAAGTTGTATGACAAATAAGTAAAACAAGGCAGGTTTATGATTAGCCAAAAATTTTGCATTATTAACATCTTTTAACCTCTGCATCGAAGGGGGTTGGTGGGGGAGGGGTGTTACAGTCGTTTCCCAGGAGTCATGTCCTCCCTGGAATTTAGCTATTGTTCCGACTTTCTAGAAACAATGGTTCTTATTTCTCATATTGTCACCATTTCCCACAAAGGTATTTTTTTAATGTTTGGCATTTCACAGGGTAATAGTACAAGTACAATGTGTGAATAACCTACTGTGCACATAAGACTACGTCATAATGCAGACATGTGGAAAGGGGAAAACAGGTCAAAGACAGGATTGTCTCATGGAGCTTCCTGCCCTGTGCATGGCCCATGTAACCATGCATTCCGTTAGCAAGCACAAGAAGTCACTCTTTTAAAAAAAACTTCACCTGAGGATATGTTTTTCATTGATGCTAGAGAGAGGAAAGGGGAGATGGATTGGAGAGGGAAGAGAGGGGGAGAAATGAGAGAGGGAGGGAGTGAGAGAGAGAGAGAGAGAGAGAGAAGAGAGACATGAATCGGTTCCCACTTATCCTGTACCAGGAATGGAACCTGAAACCTAGGCATATGCCCTGACTGGAAATCAAACCCTGTGACCTTTTTGATGTAAGGGATGGCACTCCAAACAACTGAGCCACACTGGCCTGGGCACAAGAAATCACTTTAAATATCACACTTGGACAGTTTGCTCAGCAATTGGACGTTTGAATTTGTCTCTGTCATCAAAGGCTACATGTGGATGGAGAGTGAAAAACTGACATGAGAGCAATTCAGACTTGCAAAACTCCAGCTCACTATGAGCATGATTCATCTCCCTCTGCACTGACCCACAGATGGTTACAGCTAAGGAATGCTGAAGTGTCTGGGCCGCTCCATGAGAACACTCCGTTCACGCCCAGGGGCCACCTGCCCACGCAGAGTTGCAGGCCGCAGCCAGCTACCTCGCAGAGTCTGTGCGAAGGCTGATCCCACGCTTCCAGTGGCCGGTCTAACAGCTCTGGAGCTTCAAAGCAGTGGTGGGCGTAGACATTTCCAGCTACCTACAACAACAGCAATGTGATATGAAAATATTTGTGATTTCCATTGATGACAAAATCACAGGTCATGTTAACACTGCCAGTTTGTTGTCACATTCGTAATTGAAGGAAATGCTACATTTCAGATAGAGGGTAGTCAGGTAGTCATACTATCTGCTGTCTTGTTATCCTTGCAAACAGTTCTTTGGACAAGGTTGCTTCAGGTCCAGTTCACAGGTTATTCTCCCCTGTTTTCATATTCCAGCGGTTTGAGGTATAGACGTGCAAGGCAGTTCCTCTGGGGAGGGGGAGGCAGCTCTGACTCCATTTTAAAGCATATTCCTTTATCGTTTTTTACAAACCGCACAAAGTTGCCATGAAGATGAAATGGGATCATGTATGTAAAGCTGTTAGCAGAGTGCCAGCACACGGTATAAACATTCGGCAACAGTGTCTATTCTTGTCTGAATCACTATTGTCGAGCTGAGACAGAGACCTGGAGATCAGCTCGGGAGCAATCTGGTTTTGCAGATGAGGAAATGTGCTTCAAAGAGGCTCCAGTGGCAGAACCAGCAGGAGCAGCCAGATTGAGGGCCCCTACTGGGTACCATTTCCATCACAGCCAACATCGGCCTGGTTCTCTGTGCTCCAACAGCTCAGTGCCCTCCCAGGGATGAGAAAGTATGGAAAGGAAGCAGCCATGGAATCTTTTCTTCCGGCCCAGGGTGTGTTGAGCTATTGGATGGATGCAGAAAGGACCAAAGGAGAACAGCCATTCCCCGGGAGCACAAAGGGACACAGCCCAGCCCCGTGTCCTAATTAGTCCTGTACTGTCCATCTCTTTCACCAGGCCCTCCTGGGAAGGACATTCAGACTGTTTATTGGGCTTCCTTTCAACACTGTAGTAACTCCCCTCCGCACCCAGAATCAACACAGATGAATTTCCTCCTAATGGCATCCTCATCATACCGATAGCCAAGTGTTATTCTGTGAGGATGCAGTTCAGAAACAGCCTCAGATGCACACACATCAGAACAAAAAATATATTCCTTGAGGCTGCCCAATGTTTCAGCTGGCAGCTTCTTCACAATACCTGGAAGGGGAGGGAGGAAGGGAGGGAGGGAGGGAGGAAGAGAGAGAGAGAGAGAGAGAGAGAGAGAGAGAGAGAGGCTGTGTGTGGAGGGGCAACACAATCCATCACTTTGAAAGGGTATACTTCCCCTGGAGAAAAGGTTTAAGGAAATAGGCAGGCAGATTTAATGAAAAACTCCAAGTCTATTGATTGAAATCGGTTGTAATTTTCTCACTATTTGAGAACACATCATCTTCGCATTAGGCAAACATCGTATACCTTATGTGCATAGAAAACAAAAACTTTCCAAGAGATGGGTGAGTTTAGCAGAGATCCCTCAACCTATTGTACCAGGAGCCCACATCTCCTTCCCTGTTGTTTTTATGATGAAACTTGCCCAGGCCCTTCCAGACTGAAGGCCCCCTCTGCCCCTCCCCTGAGAATAGCACTCACCATGAGAACAGGCAGCTGCTCCAGAATGCATCGCCTTCCCTGGCCTCTTCCCCACCCTGGTCCACCACTGTCCTCCCAGAAGGCGGCCTTCTGGCACCATGTCCTGCGGGAGCCGAAGCTGGTGTCACCAGGCAGCTTTAAGAGCTCCCTCCAGCGGGCTCCGGTGGCACCTGGTACCCACTCCTAGGTGACAGTGATCACACTGCTGCAACTATGACTTCAGGACACATTTTCCCACATTGTTATGTTCTGATTGGTCACTGTTCCCATTCCTATTGTGATCATGATTGCTCTGCTCATGTTGCTCAATTAAAAAACAGTTTTTTTCACATTTGAATGTTTCCACAATCGGGATGTTTTGCAGCAATGTGCACATTTAGGGTGGCAGTGTTTCTGATTTTTTTCTTCTGAAAAGTTGTTATTATACTGAGGGTGCATCTTAAAATCAACTAATGTTGCCTATTCATGTGTGTGACCTCCCCCTCCACTATGAACTATGAGGAGCAGCACCTGTGCTCTGATCCTCTTGGTATTGCTCAATAGATGTTGGCGGGAGGGAAGCGGAAGGGGGAAAGGAAGAAAGGGAACTCTTACATTTTGCAATTTAGAAAGCATCTTCACATCCTTCTCTCCTCATTTTTATTTCCCATCAGAGGGCACTGGGGTTCCCTCCCCGACAGAGACGTTCCTTGGAGCATGCCTCCTTACTGCTGTCTGGGCCCTCAGTCTGCTGAAGGTCGCCAGCACAGCACAGGGGTCACCAGCCACCCAAGGCACAGTGCAAAGGGAGAAACCGATCAGGAGGAAACCAGAGATTCAGAGTCATCCTCCAAGTCATCTTCCCTAGCCAGGGGACTCTTCCTTGGACTCTGCATCCCACAGGTAAGGGCTCACCTCAGCAACCTCCATCACGTCTCAGCTCCTGTCTGGCCCACTGAGCCTACCAAGCTCTGGCCTTACCCTTGCCTATCCCACCTTATTTCCCAAGACTCCAGTTAGCTGATTTTCTCATTTTCCTCAATTCTTGCCTTACCAGCGACATCTTCCCTGGCCCCCCACTCTCCCATAACCCATGACATCTTCCTTGATCCCCCTGTCCTCACAGACCTCACCATCCCTGAATAGCACTTGTGGTCTGAGCTGGACCAGTTAGCACTGTTTATAATGAGCCTGATGTTTCATAGCATTTTCCACAGCAGAGGGCTAAGCACATATCAGCATCCAAACATGTGGTGAAACAAATCAATACAGTGATTGGCTTTTGGGAGCTCCTCCTCTCTTTATCATTTCCTTGGTCCACCCTTCTTTCTACTCCCAGCCCAAACAAATCCCTCTCTCTAAGACCCCCTGGTGGGTTTAGAATCATGCCTGGTGAGCCTGGTTTTTCCAGGCGTTCTGTTGGAGATGCACCTGGACCACCCTCCAATCAGCTCCCTGAAGCTCAGACTCTGTCTGGCATCTCTCTGAACTGGCCTCTCTCCTTGGCTGCTGCACCTTTCTTGTAGGTGCTTCTCTGTTCCAGTTGGATAACCACCTTCGTGGGTTCCTCTGCAATAGTTCAAGCTTCAAGGTGGCATTCGAATGGGGGAGAGGCAGCCATGTGACACTGTTGACTTACACGGAATTCACAGCCAATTGACTCTATTAGTTTCTGTTGACTGAGCTGCTGTTAAGTCAGGTTTCTCATCCTTTACATGAACAACTGATCTTGTAACTCAAAAGGGTGCCATTTACATTTGCCACTCTTAAATTCCATCATGTTAGGCCTTATCCTTCCAGCTGGTGGTAATCATTTTGAGACTTCACTCTGCCCTTCCATTTCCTCAGCAGGGTGGAAACTAACAGTACACACAGGCTTTACGGGTGGTTCAAGGAGAGAATTAATGCCATGCCTATATCAGGGCTTTAATTCACTTCTTAAACCACTTCTATTGCACTCTCTTGGGGGAGAGGTTAATGATCCTGAGATACCACGAGGCCTGGCCAGCTGTACAGCTTTTTGGGGTCTCATTGTTGTAAGAGTGGGACAAACCCAACAATGACCACCTTATCCCACCCCACCTCTACCCTTGGGCTCCTCCCACAATGCTCCCTGTCTCAGAAATTGGCACCATCATCCCCCTACCTGGTGGTCAAGCCAGGAACCAAGAAGGCATGCCTAATTCCTCTTCCCCCTCCAGCCCCACATGATGAAATCAGTTCCTTCCTTCTATCAATTGGAGCTACCTCCTAAATAAATAAAGTGGTTCAGCCACCATTCCCTCTTATATTGCAGCCACACCCTTTATACTCTTCTCCCTCCTTCACCTTTTTCGTGTCCACATTTCAGGCCTCAGTTTACACTTCATTTCTTCCAGGAAGGTTTCTTGTCTCCTAGATTAGATTGGGGCTCCTGCCACCAGCTTCCCCAACATGATGTCTTCTCTATCACATGACCTAACTCACTGCTTGTTGTAGCTTATTTAATTCTTCCCAGCTACATCTGAGTTCTATGAGGATGGGCAAGGAGTCTGTTTTGCTCATCATCATATTCCCAGAACATAATAGATGCTCAAGAAATATTTCTTGAATTATGGCCTTGGTTGGGCAAGTTTTAAATCACTGGCAAGTGATTTGGCTCAATACTTATGAGTCATCCTGGTGTAAATGAAAGAATACCAGCTTTGGCCTCTAAGGAGCAGTGGGGGTTATGTCACCTAAACTCCACAAGCCTCAGTTTCCTCATCTGGAAAACAGGAATAAAAAGTTATCATATGGGGTTTTCACATGCCCAAAGGAAATTATGTATATGAATGTGCTCCCAGACTAAAAAGTACATGGTTCAAGGGCAGCTATGGCCATGGACACCCAAGCCCTCTACAAGTGGTCCTGTCCTGACTTCAGAGATTGTACCAAAGACCCACCTGGGCTCACCCTTGGGCACTCGCACTCATCAGTTTGGGTTCGGTACTAAGTCTAGCAGGTCTTTGTTATTCCTTCTCCACCTTTCCTGCTGTCCTCGTTCCCCTACACTCCTGGGCCACTTCCAGCAGCTTTCATAACCGCTTCTATTGCACTCCCTTGGTGGAGAGTTTAATGATCCTGAAGGCCCTAGAAATACATTGAATTAAAACACAAAATGGATAGCATTGTGCATTTTAGTGAAACAGCAATTAGGAGCAGCAGTCACCATGTACTCAGGAGGGCAAGAGAGCCGAGGAGAAAAGGAATAAAGTGACCTCATAAAAGACACTTAATTTCATTACCACCAGACACAGTTTCCCATTATTGCTCTGGGTGTTTAATGGTTTTATGATTCCATCTATTGATGCTTAGCTAGTTCATTAACTGTGCTGCTAAAAATACAATTATCTCCAACAAAACCTTTATCACTAATAAAAGGGAAGGGGAAAACCTCCATCATTACCAGAAAGCAGTGGGGTGGACACACCTCTGTGTAGTAACTCCTCGGCCCCAAAGTTTGCATGGAGACTGAAACTATAGCCGCACAAGTTTTATGCAACCAATTTAAAAATTCAATCAAGCAGCTGCTCTATTACTTAGCTGATTCCAGCTAACAAATTGGAATGATCCTGGGCACCCAACTGACAATGGCTTTGAGTCAGCTGAGTCAACCTGTCACAATGCTGGTGACATGAGAGAGATGAAGTCTGCTTGACCATTAGTTATTTAGTAATCCCCTATTGGGTGCCAAGCAGTGGTTATAAGGAGACAGGCAACATAGGTAGGGACCCTGTTTTCAGGAAGCCAAACATCTAGTAGACAATGTGGATCTGTTGGGATCAGAGGAATGAAAATCCCACTTACTAAGCTGGGCTCTGGGTGGACCTCTACTTCTGATCTGGAGCAGAGAGGAGAGAGCGGGTCCTGAGCAGGGCAGGAGGTGAAGACGGCTTTCCATGCCACTTCGCATAAAAGCCTTTACTATGGCCTCCCAGGCGCTACAGGGTCTGTCTTTAAGCCCCACCCTTTTTACCTCTCTTCTGAGCCTACAGGAGGTGGGAGGGAGGCCGTGCAAGAGCCCAGGTCTGCAGTCAGGAGGATGCAAAGCCTAATAAAAACCTGAGCAAAGACTTTTTAGGTGGTTTGCTTGTCCTAAGGGGTTTCCGTTTTTTTCTTCTGGAACCCAAACTGCTCTTGGCAGCTGGTTCTCTGGCTTCATTTCCTATTACTTCTCTCCTTACATACTCTACTCTGGTATTATTTCTTGAATGTGACAGGCCCCAGGGCCTTTGAATTTTCTGTGTCACCACTTGTAATGACTCTTCCCCCAGAGAGAGTCAGGGCTCACTGCCTCCCTTCTCAGCCAAATACCGCTTCTCAGCAAAGCCTCTCCTGCCCACCCACCTGCTCCCACCATTCCCTGCCCCTTCCCTGTTGTGTTTTGCTCTATAACTCTCACCACTACCTGAGATACTGTATACTTGACTTTTTGTGTTTGTTGGTTATTTATCCACTAAAATGTGGGCTCTTAGAGCACAGGGACTTTTCTGCTTTGTTCTCTGATGACTCCCCAGCATTACAACACACCGAGCATTTAGTAGGCACCTAATAAGTATTTGTTAACTGCCTGAATGTACTTATTTTCTGCCTACTGCCTCTCATCCCGAGCCCACCCCTGCGTGCTACGCTGTAACGGCTCGGCCCTTCAGCAGCTGACTTCCTCAGAAGCTTGCCCATAAAGATGCTGGGGGAGACCAGAGGCAGGGGAAAGGGAGAAGCTATTGTTCTTCCTCTATCTCTCGCACTTTCTCTCGTTGCTTCTTCTTTTGGTGATGACTGTAAAGTACTGTGTTGTTTCCATGATCCCAAATGCAGCTGCAACAGCCCGCCTCCTCGGTGGCCGCTGCTCCCAGTGGTTCCCCCAGCCCCAGCGGTGGTGGCTCCTCCCAGCAGTTCATAAGCTCTGCAGTGCCTCCATCTCCCTTTGCTGGCCCAGCCTGTATTAAATCCCCTCTGTCTGATGTACTCAGTGTGGGTTCTGTTTTCCTGACTAAATCCTGACAGATAAAGGAACTTGGGAAGGGGAATCGCTACAGACTGTGCAGTGAAAAGGGGGCAGTTCAGACACAAGCGGCCCCACCCTTCCCCACTCTGAGAGGAGCAAAGAAGCTCTCAGGACAATGAGGAAGCCCAGCAGTGGGGACTGGCCTAACAGATGCCAGCTAAAGGCTGACGGCACTTGGT